CACTCTGCTGTGTTTTTGAATGCTCAGTTTTAATAACTTGTATGATGTTTTACGTTTTGCTTTATTTTGTGAGCTGCCTCAGGCAGGGTCCCTGGAGAGGTGGTACAGAAATTTGCCAAATAAATACATGGGGAGAGGAACAACAGAGATCTGGGATGTGGCTCCGTTCTCGGAGATTTTTTTTAAGGCACCAGCTGATGAGGGACAGAACAGCTTCAGTTCAGGTTGGTTCAAAAATCTTTATTTCCATTTTTTTTTGTTCACAAGAAAACCAAGTGCCTCAAGTTTTTTTTTTAAGAAAAAACACACACCCCACACGCATTTTCATCCACAAGGCCAAGCCAAATATCACAGAAAGTCCTCGAACACTTTTAAATATTCAGTTTAAAAAACAAACCCATAATACACAGCAGAACAGTGTCAAGGAGGGTCCCTGTTATAAATACAGTGCAATAATTATGTACAACTTTTACAATATTTAAGACAAGACCTGCTGTGCAGCTAGGCCAAATGTTTGGAAGGCATTATTTTAAGGAATCTTGTACAAGAGAAAGTATTGGAAGAATCAATGACAGCCTCCTTTGTACAAGCACGTCGAATTAAGACTGAGAGCTGAGCTGCAATTCATTGACACAAACACTCAACCCAATTCTTTTTTTTTTTTTAATTAGCTTGGGAAGCTGGTTGAAAAAGCAAACTTGGCAACTAGAAACATGGAGAATTAATTATTCTACAACAAACCAACGTTCTTCAACAATTCCTGTCAACTGAATACCACAGAGCTTTGCTATTCTTGAACAAAACCCGCAACTCTTATATACAAAAGTAAAGACTTCCATTTATATGAAGAAATATTAAAAAAACAAGAGTTGGGTTTTTTTTTAAAAAAAGCTTATTTTCAAACTGGTAAAGAGAGATAGCCCTTAAATATCCTCTTATCCTTGGAAAGGCCTAGAACAACATCAAGGCATCCTCAGTCCAAGATTTGCCCCCTCCTCTTCTTTCCAGTCTTGGCAAGAAAATCAAGTCGGTCTGCACCCAATCAGAGAACAGTGAATTGCTAAAACGGGTTGGCAACTAACAAGCCAGGAGGCAAATCCACCCCTATTTGGTCTGCCAGCAGCCCTTAGCACTTCCCACCCCATTCGCTGCTTTCTTGCTTCTCACAGCAGAAGAAAGCAAGTGGCATATGAAAGGGGTTGAGACTGGAGTGTGGCACCCCCAGAGGATTCTGAGATGCACACGCAGCTTGCACAGAGCATCTAAGCATGTTGGAAGCAGGTGCACAGCTGTCTTGCTTGTGGTCTGGTGGAAGTTGGAGTATGTCAGTGGGGTATACTCCAACTTGGCCCATCCGCCCCCCTCACCCTGCTGTGAGTCAGGGAAGGGGGGGGTGTTACCAGGGCAGGAGGACCTGACCAGAGTCCTTTGCTTAACATGTCCCATGCCTGTACAAAGATTGAATCACCTGCTGCCCCCCACTAGGAATGAGTGTCGTTTAGTGCAAAGGTCTCAGAACTACAGATGTTCTTGTCATGTGGATGCCGCTAAGGATTTGTTCTGGGCAAAACTTAATTTGGGAGAGATATTCCAAAAGGTTTTTTTTTTAAAGCATTTAAATCTCAAAAGGCACCTTTGCACCCGGAAGACTATCTGGGACTGAGTTCTCTCAACCCTGCAACTAAGACACCGGTATAATTAAACACTTCATGTCAAAAACTGCCTGAAAGAATGCTGGTGTGTCAAATCGGAAGGTTCCAACCTAGCCTACTCACAGACTACATTTTTACAATCAGGAAGTTCTCACTACTGGATACTGCTTAGTCCTATGGCCTTCTGCTTGCGCTCTTAAGTGGGATGTTCACAGAAGGGCTTGAACCATGTGATTGTTCTGGGACTGGTAAACCAGCTCTCGCTGTACAACTGAAAATGTCACTAAGAGAAGGTACCTAGGAGCATGGATGTGGCAGGTCCACTTTGCGGCACCCTCACCATGGGAGCTGGGTATTCCCTGGCACAGCCCACATTTCCCTACAAATGCCCCCATGTGCAAGTACAAGCCCACAGGTGCTGTGCTTCTCACTCAAGAACATCACTCCAGTGCACCCAACATCCCCAAACTATGCAAAGACACCTTTTAGTAAAAGAGGGAGATTACCAACACAGAACCAAAGAAGTTCAGAAAAGCCACTAATAAAAGGAAGGAAGGAGAATTACTATAATGCCTAAATGAAGGAAGATGAGAGAAAAATTGAGTCTCCTCCATTTGACTGATGGGGGGAAATGGAGAAACAACCGAAGTTGTATAATGACCCAGTGGCAGAGATGCAGTATGTTCCAAAATCCATGAAGCACCAACACTTGTTTTGGCAGCTGCTCAAAGGGGTTTTGCAAGCCAAGTTTGACATGCCTGGCCTTTCAGAAGGAGAGCAGGCAGCATGGTTCTTGCTCTGATTTGGCTTTGTGATGTTATCACACAGCTAAACCTGATTGGATGAGATCATTGAAGACGCTGTCACTATTGAAAAAACACATTGTGCTCAAGCTACTGATCAGGGAAAGAAACCACTGAGAATTGGTATTGAACAGCACACCACACAAAGGAGGAAAAGCAAGGCCATAGAGATTCAGAACATTCTCCCTCACCATCTTCCTTTAAAAAGTCATCCATATACCCTAAAAGTGTTTGTGAGCAAAGATTCAGCAGAGCTCAACCCTGAACACAGAGTAATACTTGAAATACAATCCTTTTTTCTTTCCTGAGTAAATGTCTATCGGTTACAGAAAGCAGATTCATCTAAGGACAGGACTTACAGGAGGCACAAGGCTGCCGCAGAAACCAGCATACCTGCATCAAGGCTTTGCCCTCTTCTCCCCACAATGACCCTACAAAACGTGTCATCAGCTTCCCCCCATCCCGGCTGCCATGGCACCCAACGATGCTAAATGGGATTATAGAGCATATCACTGATACGCTCCCCTGCTAGTTTCACAAGATGCTACAGGCAAGAGCTAGAAGCAAAGATGCCATTTTCTGTGGCAGTCCTATGATGTCCATAGTGTCTGGATTTGTCACAGGAGAGGAGTAAACATTATTGATAAGAATATCTATAAAATAGACAAATGTCTACAGGAGCACAAATATGAAGCAACAAACGTGCACTCTTTCAAGTTGCACTGAGCCCATTATGAAAAGCTCTACATCTCAGAAGCTGAATAGACCTCCGTTAAAAGCAGACGTTGGTCCAAAGATGGCTCATATCCCGTTTTGTATTTCTTTGTCACAATGGCATGGGGGAGGGCGGGGAAGAAGCCTTGCTGACTTGATAGCTGAACTAGGAGCTGAGTAGCCTTTGGACCTCCAGAGGTAACAAGTGCCTTCTTGAGGATTAAAGGAAAAAAAGAGAGGACACAAGGAATTAGGGCGCAACTGAGAACCTGTGGATTAGGGCAGGAGAAAGTAAGACCAAAATTATTTTTCCTAAGGGATCCAACTTCATATAGAGGGAGCCTCTGCACCCAAAGATGCGAAATGGCAAGGAATTACCACCTGGAACAACTGGACTTTGACCAGGGGCTCCAGAAAGAAGGATGACTGCTTAGCAGAATGTGCGCACCCAGTGGGCAAGTATCTGCTGAAGACCAGAAGATGGGTCTACGACCAACGAGAGACCCACCAGGCACAGGACACAATTGCAGTAGTCTTCGGGGATGCTGATTTGCTGCCAGCAGTAGAGTCTAACTCCTTCATAATCCTTTAAAATCTACCAGTAACAATGGGGCTTAAAAATAGTACGAGAGTCAACTTCACTTCCTCTCCCAGGATTATGAGAGTTAGTGTGTATGCAGATGTATGCACACGGATCCATGCACAACATGTTGGGGGGACACTGGAGGGCATCTTGCCCAAGGCTTGCCAACAGCCCTGCTAACACTGTTTGCAATAGATGGGTTTACATTGCAATTCTAAACAGAGTTGCACCCTTCTAAGTCCACTGAAGTTGATGTACTTAGAAGGGTGTGACTCTGCTTAGGATGGAACCGACAGTCAACTGGACGTCACTACTGGGAAGCAGCAGACGAGGTGGAAATGCCCATTGGTCATCCTTTTATGAAGAGGGGGGGGAATTAGCTCAGATACCCTTCCAAGCAATGCAGTGTAACGCCTTCATACAGATCTTAGCAAGGCACGCATCCAGCTTATTTAGACCTCACATTCAACAGATGAATGGGGAAACACCCCAAAACGTGTTACACCAGGATTCCAAACAGAATGTGAGAAGACCTTGAGGCTACAGCAAGCAGGACTATAACTAAAGCCGTTCTGAACACCACAATTGCCAGGAAGTGCAGAAATGTCATGCCACTGTGAAGTCGCCCAGTGTGAGACAGATGCCACAGCCAAGCCATTATTAATCAGCTGACAACTGGACCCATAATGGGGTGTGGGGACAGGATGAGATCACCACTTGTTCAGCCATAACACCAACTGCAGGTTGCTGGGTGGCACACTTCCTTTGCCATGCACTACCCCACCTACTACTGGCAGTGCCCCAGTCTGGCTCTTTCCACCCAGAGTAAGACATCCATGCAAACCTAGGATGCATCTGGTCCTTCCTAGACAAGGCATGGCTGCTTCACAGTATTTCCCTGCTGCACACACAAGGAGTAGGAGGGAGGAGTAAGCAGCATCCGACTCTGCAGAGCATTTCTAAGAGAACCTTGAAGGAGAAAGTCCAGAGCAAGAGGCTACCGAGGGGTAACCTGCCGCTTTGCCGCCTTGCCGCCTTGCACCAAAGGGCTCACAAAGTCTTGGATGGTTCTGGAAAATGGCTGAGATGGACAAAGATATCCTTGAGACCCAGAAAGCTGCTTGCGAGGCCTCTCTCTTCTCAACACTTCTGAGAAAAGCCCTGAGGCATTGGAGGAAGGAGAGGTGAAATGCTAGCACCATCAACCAAAATAAAGAAGGGACCAGGAATCCCAGTTCACTCCCCTGCTCAGTTTTTTAGCAGGTCGCCCAAGTCATAGGCCTCAAATAAGTCGCTCACCCCCTCGCCCTCCTCTAGCCCCCACAGGTAGTCGTCTTGGTCCAGAGGAGGGGAGAAACTGACAAAGGGGCCAGTGTCGCTGTAGGAAGCAGAAGGGAGCTGGTCCTCCGTCTGCTGCAAAAGATGCTGGGGCAGCTCCAGGAAGCCGTCCTCCCCTTCCATGAGGCAGCTGGGCAGCTCCGTTTTCACAGGTTCTGCTGGGAGAAAGAAAGAAAAGAGCGACCCACGAGTGAGCAGAGCACTGAAATGACACAGCATGCCCCCAAGGTGGCCACAGCACCTGTGGCAGATGTGCAAGTTGCCTCCTTTTCTGTCTTTTAGTACATTAGAATACCAACACCCCTCCTTTCCCATGAGGCAGCATACGAATCCTCAATTAAAAGCATACAAAATAAATACCCCTGCCTCAGAACATTTTTATCCTGCCCTAACTCCAAGTCGAGCTACGGTGGCTCAAGTGGTTAAGACGCTGAACTGCAGGCTGTGGAAGGTCGGTAGTTCGGCAGTTCGAGACCCGAGTGTGCCGCATGACGGAGTGAGCTCCCGTCTCTAGTCCCAGCTCCTGCCAACCTAGCAGTTCGAAAGCAAGAAATTGTGAGTAGATAAATGGGTACCACTTCGGTGGGAAGGTAACAGCGTTCCGTGCACCTTGGTGTTTAGTCATGCCGGCCACATGACCACGGAAACATCTTCAGACAGCGCTGGCTCTTTGGCTTTGAAACGGAGATGAGCACCGCAACTCTAGAGTCGGATTTGGCTGGCTTTCGAGCAAGGGAACCTTTACCTTTTTTAGTCAGGGTGGAGCAATGCATATTTTGCACATGCATAAAACTGTGGTGCACACAAACCAACAACTGGATTTTTCAAGGTTCTGATTTGCATGTATCAATACAATACAAACTCTATATATCAAAAGAGTAGTGGGAAGTGCATGTTCTCAATATGCACAGTTGCTCCTTTACGTGCAGTTGTAATATGTTCAGTTGTAATAATGCAGATATTACATCTGGGAAGGGCATATGTCATATCAAGCCAGGCTGCTGGCTCATCTCCCTTGTACAGCTCCTGATTTTGACCTAGGAGGCCCAGATTCAAATCCATACTCTTCCAAGAAACATGCTAGTTTTAAACCTTACAGAGAATTTTAAGAGAGCCAGTGTCGTGTAGCAGTTAGCAGGCTGTACTAGGTTCTGGGAGACCCAAGTGTGATGAATCCTCATTCTGCCATTCAAGTTTGCTAGGTAACCTTGGGTCACTCACACACAGCCTCAGCCTAATCTACCTCATGGGGTGGTTGTTGTGAGGCTAAAATGGAGGAGAGGGTAATCATGCAAGACATTTTGGGTTCCCAATGGAGAGAAAGGCAGGATTTGAAATGAAGTCAATAAATTTAAAACAGCTTTAGGGGGAGCCTTCAAGAATGCAAGCTGACGTGGCAGTCTGCTCCGCCACTTTAGGACTTGCTGCCTTGTTTCCCTGCATATGTACAGATCAGGCTACAGAGCAGCAACGACAAGAAAGGTTTCGTCGACCACCAGTTTCCAGTGGCCAACACATCATTGACAGGAAGACACAACTGACAGGGTTTCGAACGAGGTACCTAGCAGCAGGTACCACAATCGCTTTGGGATGTTCCCCCACATGGTTCCTCCAGCCAAAGAACTCTTACCTTTCAGTGTTGGAGGACTGGAGCCGTGGCCACCATCCTGGTGTGTCAGGGCTGGGAGGCCACTCTTTTCAGCAGGGCTCTCCTCCAGGACTTCCTCAGGGCACAGGTACACCTCGATAGGGCCATTGCTGCTTTTCAGGTGGAGCTGAACATTTTCCTGGCCCAAGAGGAGGAGGAGGAGGTGCTGTTAGACTGGAGCAAAACATGTCACCTGCCAAGCCAAGCACCACCCACCGAGAAACAGTTTATATTCAGCTGCTTGCCTGAAACTGGGGGGGGGGGGGTGGGGGGGGGGGGGGGATGGGAGTGGCTGGGACCAATGTTCCTTCTAAGCTGTGGAGTCTTGTGAGCAAAAAGTCTACTTTGTGAGCTACTGGGATTAAAGCTGTGAGCGAGTGATTTGGCTACTGCATAAATTAGTTGGCTCTGGAGCCGTCCTTCCTGAGCCAAGACAAAAAATGTGTGGGCTGGAGGCTAAAAAAACTGTGAGCTAGCTCACACTAACTCAGCTTAGAGGGAACACTGGCTGGGACATCAAGCGCCTGGCACAGCTCAATCCACCGCTGGAGGGCTGCATTTAGCTCCGAAGGTGGCCTGCCTGTAGCCCCACACAAAAATCATCTAGCGGAGCCGGTATGGGTAGTAGCTAAAGTGTTGGAAGAAGATCCAGGTCCAAATCCTCACTGTGTTGGCCGCCCTTCTGAGCCTAGCCTATCTGAGAGGGGGAAGTTGGAGAAACTCATATGTCACCGTGGTCTCATAAAAGGAAGGGTGGCATAATGAATGTAAAAACCAAAGGGTCCAACATAACAAATAACCAATTGCATCTCCAGGCAAGGTTTCCTTGAGACCCCTCATTCTTCTGTCGCTCAAAAACTTACACATCGGAAAATGCTGCCATTGTACGGGATCCTCAAGCCCCTGCTGGCATAGCTCACCTTGGCATGAAGCAATGAAAGGACTCATGTCCGACTGTGGGTTCCAAAGGGAATGCGTCAGCCCTCCCCAAATGCCAGGTTCTGCAAGATGCAAGCCGGGGCAGCTTTTATTTCTGACTAGAGAGTGTCCCCTGAGCCAGAAGGGACCTTTCATTCAATCCAAAGCCAGAACATGCCCTGACAGATGGCTGTCCAGCCTCCAGCCAGGAAGAGCATGCCACTGCCCAGCTTGACGGGTTCCACCTCTGAGCTGCTTGTAGTGCTAGGAAGCATCTCCTCATGTTCAAGCAGAATCTGCCCTCCTGTAACTGTCTGGTCTTGCCCTCTGGAGCAACATAGTCTGTGCATTCCCGCAGTTGGGGGTTGAAGAGCATGGCCATGTCTCTCCTTGGTTTGAACTAATCTACTACATTTCTATCCCATCAGGTGTGGTGTGGTGTGGTGGTGAAGAGTGTAAGATTAGGATCTGGGAGACCCAGCTTCAAATCCCCACTCTGCCATGGAAGCTCTCTAGGCCACCTTAGGCCCGTCACAGATACTCAGCCTAACCTCCCTCACAGAGGATAAAACAGAGGAGAGAAGAACAATGTAAGGTGCTTTGGGTCCCCCTCGGGGAGAAAGGCAAGGAAATAAGTTGGCATACCCAGGATAGCATACCCAGGTTTTCCATTCAGTCACCCATCAGACCCAGAGGTTCAAGAAGACTACATTTCCATGTGCCTTCTCACTGTGCCCTGGGACCTTTTCTTTGCAGCCTTCAAATAGTGGGGTGGATCCTGCCAGTTCTTTCACTCACTCTTGTCCAGTCCTCTTCCTTACCCATCCTTTCCCACGTGACTTTAGTCCATGAAGGTCCCACGATCCCTAGCACAGCCTTTTTGGGTGGTCATATGGGATCCCTCCTTCCTTCCTTTTTCACCAGCAAAAAATGGTTTGGATCCAACCCAGTGTTACAGTGGCAAGGTATTTATTTCAGCTCAGCCTACAGGGAGGCAGCACCAGTTCAACTTTTCAATGGAGGTGTACCAGTATGTTGACCAGCATGGGATTCCTTTGCAGCTGTCTCCACCGAGATGGAGGGAAAGCCATCCAAGCCACCTCCCAGCCCTGCTCACCTCGCAAAGATCTGGCACTTCCAGCCGAGTCTCTGGTGGGGCTCGGACCACAATCACCGTCTGCTCATTGAAGTTGCTGATGGTGCGTATGTCCTGATACGTTACATAAGCTAGCGTAGGATAGGCGGTGCAAGTTAAAGGAAATGCTGGACAAAAGGCCCAAATTCCAGAATCCCCCAAGCATGTTCTTACTATTTAGATGAAATAATAGAATGCAAGTTTGCTCTTCCTACCAAAAAAGTAGGCAGACATATGAAGTTATCTCCTCTTCTGCCACATTCACAAGTGCCTAACTATGCCGCTCAGAGGCAGGCTGAGAACTGCTTCACACATGCAAGAAAATGAGAAAGAAGGGGCTTCAAACTGCAGGTGAGAGATTACAATTTTCAGAATCTCCCTACCTTAATAATTCCCTGCAATCAGAAAACTAGCATACCACATGAAGGGCTATAGGCTAGAACCTCTTTCCCCAACATGCTTCCCACAGGCAGGAGCTTTCAAATACACTGTTCTCTGCTTGCAAATGATACATTCTTGGAAATGGTACAGCCCAGGAAGGACTGTATCTGTATCTTCTGAAATCTCTGGAAATGTAGGACAGGTCTCAGGCCTTCTACTCAACTTCTGTATCCTCCAACATCTCAGAAATAAAAACAGAGCCATAAGCTTATACCCCTCTATTTTCAGACCACAGCATGACTCCCCCCGCCCCCCCCCCCAGTATATTTCATGGCAGACTTTTCTGCCAGGAGTATTCACATATTCTGCAATTACCAGTTTAAATCCATGTCAGTAAGAGTATCTGTTAAAGAACTGAAAGACACTACCGGGGGGGGGGGGGGGGAACACAGCTAGCATACACATTTATCATTTAAAAATATGCAGCACACTGCATGGTGCCTTAGTGAGCATGCATATCAGCAACAAGATGTGGAAGCATGCATGTGTTTAAGACAAGAGACATTCTCACTCACATCACACTGAGTGTTCACTTCTGGAGACCCAAGAGAGGGTGCTAAACCCTGAATAGACAGTGATTGCCCAGGGAAAGTTACCCAAAGGAGAGGCTGTCCCAGGCAAACAGGGACAGGTAGACCACATCAGCGTCTCCTTCATGTCTTGCCCCTCAAAAAGGATATTTCTGATTGGTTTCGTCTTCTGTCAGGTGCTTCAGCTGAAGTGTGCACTCCTGGATGAGCTTGTCCAGCATCCTCTCGGTCTTGGAAAGCTCTGCCTGCTCCTGCCGCAATGCCTGCTGTCTCGCTGCCATAGAAGAGTCCTCAAAAATCCCTGTCCCCCTAGGCAGCAATGTTCACAGGATAATTATATAACTGGAGAATCACAGGACCCCATTTGTTACCTTTAAACAGAGTCAAAACTGAGGCTGTCAAAAGTTCTACCATCTTGCAGAACATGCCTAGAGCAAAGTTTTACAAAAGAAAAGACCTAAGGATACAGATTCAAAGCCTGCACAGAGTACATTTCTTAAGTGAAAAAAACGGGCCACTGGTACTTACCGTGAAGGGTCCTTCTCCTCTGAGATGAAGGAGGACATCTTGCTGGGTGTTTCCCACCCTATCCTTAGGGAGGCAGGAACCAAACTTGCATTTCCCGTCCTCTTGCATTTCCTGTCCCCTGAATTCATTTAGGAACTCCGAGAAGCAGTAACTAGCTAAATAACTGGAAAATTTAACCAACATGATAATACCAACTTGAAAAACTATCAAGAGAACAGGAAAGTTGAGGTTAGCACTGAAAGAAATAGAACGGACAGAGATGACGATGAGATGGGAGGGCCCAAGATGTCCTCCTTCGTCTCAGAGGAGAAGGACCCTTCACGGTAAGTACCAATGGCCCATTCTCCCTCTGAGAGGAGGACGTCTTGCTGGGACCTCCTAGAGCAGTGCCCGTAATCTTCAGGTGGGTCATCATCTACTCTGTCATGACCTGTTGCAAAACTCTCCGGCCGAAAGCAGTGTCTGCTGAATCAAAGACGTTGATCCTGTAGTGTTTAATGAAGGTCAAAACCGAGGACCATGTGGCAGCCTTGCAGATTTCCTCCACCGAAGCTCTGTTCGAGAAGGCTGGGCTGGTGGCTGCACTACGAATCGAGTGAGCAGTGATACCCATTGGAGGAACCAGCTTTTTTGCTCAGTAGGCTTCAGCAATGCACAGCTTGAGTATAGAACTGATGGAAGAACTAGACATCTTGCACCCCTTATTGGGTGGAGATACTGAAATGAACAAGGATTCTGATTTTCGAAAGTTGCTGGTACGAAGAAGGAATGCCTTCAGGGCTCGGCGAACATCTAAGGAATGCCAGATGCGTTCCTGAGAATGGGAAGGATTTGGACAGAACAAGGGAAGACATATCTCCTGAGATTGGTGGAACTTGGAATTGATCTTTGGTCGAAAGGTAGAGTTAGGAACCAAGACGACTTTGTCCTTGTGGAACACACAAAGGCATGGGTTAGCTGAAAGAGCTCCCAACTCCGACACTCTACGAGTGGAGGTCACCGCTACTAAGAACAGGGCTTTCATACGGAGCCACTTGAGGGGAATGTCCTTGATTGGTTTGAAGGGCGGCTTGGTCAGTGCATCGAGGACCAAGTTAAGTCTCCAGATAGAGAATCTGTGTGAGACAGGCGAGTCTGTAGAGGATGCCCCCTTTAAAAAACGCTTAATGTGTGGATGCCTGGAAAGAGACCAACCTTTGAAGTGTGGAAGAACCATAGATGAGGCCGCAACCTGTCTTCAAAGAGTAGAAGCTCGAAGACCAGAATCATGACCATCCTGGAGGAAGGTGAGTAGGTTCCTGAAGTGTGGTTTCAATGGGTCTATCGACTTCCTTTTGGCCCATCACATAAAGGCCTTCCAGGTGGTATTATAAATTCTGCACATGGACTGTCTTCGAGCCACCAGTATCGTGTTGGTCACCTTCTCTGAGTAGCCAAGGTTGAGAAGTCCTTCCCGCTCAAGCACCAGACGGTCAGACGAAGCCAGCCTAGTCCCTGAGACAGCATGTCGGGAGTTACTGGAAGGCAGAGGTGAGGTTGAATCCATAGGCACTGTATTTCCAAGAACCATGGCCTTCATGGCCAATAAGGAGCTATCAGAATGGCCTCCGCTCTCTGTTCTTTCAGTTTCCTGAGGAACCTTGGGATGACTGGAGTAGGAGGAAACGCAAACATCAGTCCCGGTGGCCATGGTGACGTCAAGGCATCTGTCGCCTCCGCTTCGCGATGGTAAAACCTGGTGAAGTACCTGGTCACCTGGAAATTGAGGGGAGAGGGATAGAGGAAATGCAAACATCAATCCCGGTGGCCATGGAGACGTCAAGGCAACTGTCGCCTCCGCTTCACTATGGTAAAACTGATGTGTTCTGCCTTGATGGAGCCATTCCGATTCCTGTAGTTGGCAATGGCTGAGCCAGTCGGCTTTAGTATTGAGTATTCAGGATTCCCTTGATGTGTTCTGCCTTGATGGAGGCAACATTGGCCTCTGCCCACCGAAAAAGTTTTAACGCCTCCTGACGAAGGCGGGCAGATTTGGATCCCCCTTGGTGGTTTATGTAGGATTTTGTTGCGATATTGTCCGTTCTGATCAAGACATGACTGCCCAAGACCTGGTGATGGAAACGATTCAGAGCTAGCCTGATGACCCTCAGTTCCAAGACATTTATTGGCAGCTTGCTCTCCTGCGGGGACCAGAGACCCTGCATTGGAGTGTTGAGATGAGTGGCACCCCAGCCTAGGAGGCTGGCGTCTGTCACCACTTGCTTCCATTCTGACACATAGAATGTGAGTCCCTTCTGAAGGTTCAACAATCTTATCCATCAAGTGAGGCTGTAACGCACCGCAGGAGGGATGACGAACGGGATAGCCTCCCGGCGCATGACCTTGTGTTGAAAAGGTGTCAGCAATTGTTGAAGAGGTCTTGAGTGAAGGCGAGCCCAAGGGACCGTGTCTATACAGGATACGAAGAGGCCCATCAGTCTGGCTAGGGTCATGAGTGAAGACCTCCTGCTTTTGGCAACCTGCTGGCAAAGGCGGCGGATGGCGTCCACCTTGGGTCTGGGTAGAAACATCTTGTTTTGCACTGTGTCCAAAATTACTCCCAAGTGTTCTATGGTTTGAGATGGGGTGAGACGACTCTTCTGAAGGTTCACCAGGAAACCATGCTCCTGAAGGCACTGTACCGTTGCCACTGTATCTTGAACAGACGTCACTTGAGAGGCTGAGTGGATCAGAAGGTCATCAAAGTACGGATGGACATGAACACCTTGTTCCCTCAAGAGCACGACTGGATGGATCAGCATCTTGGAAAAGACCCTGGGAGCTGTGGATAGACCAAAAGGCAGGGCCCTGAACTGCCAGCGTTGTCCTTGGACACAAAACCGTAGAAAGCATCTGTGACTTTCTACGATTGGCACATGAAGATAAGCCTCCTGAAGATCGACAAAAGTGAGGAACTCTCACGGCTGGAGTGCCTCTGCAATCGAGCAAAGGGTCTCCATGCGGAAGTGTCTCAAACGTATGAACTTTAGGAACTTTAGGTCTAGGATGACCCTCCAGCTTCCATTTCTTTGGGGCATGGTGAAGAAGATGGAATACACACCCTGTCCCCTTTGGGGTAGGGGTACAGGTTCGATGGCGAGAATGCTGGCTAGATGCTGTACTGCATCCAGAGTTCTTTGTAGCTTGATTAGGTTTTTTAAAGTTGGTGAGAGGACAAAGCGATCTGGAGGTCTGCACAGGAATTCGATGGAATATCCCTTTCTTGTGACCACTTGAGACCAGGCATCTGCATGGGACTCAACCCACTTGTGATGGAATAGTAGCAGCCGTCCCCCCCACCGGAGCCGCTGCGTAGTCACGCACAGGGGTTTTTGTTGCCTCTCCCGGAGTTGTCATCTCTGGAAGAGAAGAAACTGTTTGACCTGTTTTGGAAGGAGCCGCATCTGAATTTCTGTCTGCAAATTCCCCAAAAGGGACGTCTGCCCTGCTGCTCAGGGAACGCGGCATTGTTTTCTTTTTGTTCTTTGTTTCTATAAGTATTTTGTCCAAAGAGTCACCAAAAAGGTGGTTGCCTTGGAATGGATACACTGTCACAGTCCTTTTGGCGTGTAGGTCAGCTTGCCAGGCCCGGAGCCATAGGGTTCTCCAGGCTGCTACTGTGGAAGCCAGGGCCCTAGAAGAGAAAATCATGGCATCGAGGGTGGCTTGAAGGAGTCTATTCGCTCCCTCAGCCAGGCGCTTGTTAGAATCCGCAACCAGCTGGGACATCTTTTTGGACCAGGCAACAGAAGCTCTAGCTACCACCGTGGCGGTAGCTCTGATGGCCATGGCTGTAGCTTCATGGGCTTCGCATAAGGCAAATTTGGCTTTCCTGTCTCTTACCATGCCTTCGCCATCTTCAGAAAGCAGGCCTGAGGTCTGAAGAGCAGTAATAAGACCTGGTGAGAGATGTAAAAGTGATTGCACCGCTTGGAAACAGTGATCATAATGTTGTTGAGTTCATCATTTGTACAAACAGAGAATTGGCCAAAAAGACTCACACAACCATTTTTAACTTTAAAAGGGGTAATTTCTCTGATATGAGGGGACACGTGGGGAGGAAACTGAAAGGAAAAGTAGAAAGGGTCAAAACAATTGGGGAAGCTTGGGATCTATTTAAAACTACGATCCTAGAAGCTCAAAAAATATATATTCCGCAGGTTAGGAAAGGCACAAAAAGGTATAGGAAAAAGCCTGCATGGTTAACAAACAGAGTAATGGAGGCTGTAAAAAGTAAAAAGAATTCCTTTAAGCAGTGGAAAGCTAGTCACAGTGAGGCTGATAAAACGGAACACAGGATATGGCAAATAAAATGCAAGTCTGAGGTCAGGCAGGCAAAAAGGGAACATGAGGAGCATATAGCAAAAAACGTAAAAACCAACAATAAAACTTTCTTCAAATACATTAGAAACAGGAAACCAGCCAGGGAGGCAGTGGGGCCCTTGGACGACCAAGGGGTAAAAGGAGTATTGAAGGATGATAGGGAAATGGCTGAGAAGCTAAATGCATTTTTTGCCTCCGTCTTCACTGTGGAAGATGAGAAGTGCTTGCCCACTCCAGAACCACTGATTTCAGGAGGGGTGTTGAAAGACCTGAGTCAGATTGAGGTGACGAGAGAGGAGGTCCTAAAACTGATAGACAACTTAAAAACTGAAAAATCACCAGGCCCAGATGGCATACATCCGAGAGTTCTGAAAGAACTCAAATGTGAACTTGTAGATCTCCTGACAAAGATATGTAAT